CAGCTGGAGCGGAGCCGTGATGCTGCCTGTCCCACTGACCCATCCAGGACAACCCGTGCCTACTGCACGCACGTGCCACTCAGATGTTTTGCACGTGCTCAGCAAATCCAACATGCTCATGATGCCTCAGTCCTATAATGTGTGTGCAAATCAACTGCACAGCACATGGATGACAGAGTACACACAGAAATCCCAAGCAGAAATCTAGCCTACCTCACTGGGAGAGAGAAAAAAATAGTCTTCTTTCTAGCTGAGACCCTGAAAGCTGATTAAGGTATGTGAATTCTCTCCCTGTCATCTTCTTTTGATCACTGTAACTATCTATAAAGCACATGGGACTGCACAGTGGATGTGTCTTCGATTCAAAGCTGCTACGTAGGCCAAAAGTAAATTATTATGAATGCCTGAGCTCATTAGCATATAAATATTAAGATCATGGTACTATAGAGTACTAAGAAGGTAAGTCCAGGAGGTTTTCCTCTCTGTTTTAAATATTCAAATAAAGATGTATATCTACACATCTTTTCAAGGAAACCTATTCTGTCTCACTGTACCTATATCTCACATCAGAAAAAGCCAATTACCTTCTAGAAATAGTGATTTCAACCACAGAATCATAGAACCATAGAATGGTTTGGGCTGGAAGGGAACCATCCAGTTCCAACCCTCCTGCCATGAGCAGGGACACCTTCCATTAGACCAGGATGCTCAAAGCCTCATCAAACCTGGCCTTGAACACTTCCAGGGAGAGGGCATCCACAACTTCCTACATCCACAACTTCTCTGGGCAACCAGTTATTAGCCTTTCAGTAAGTTTTGGAAGCACACACAAAAAAAAAAAAAACAAAAAAAAAAAGTAAGATTAAACCAAAAAGCCTTTAAAAACCCCAGACAACCAGTACTCCTACCCTGTTCAGCTCCATTATTTCACAAGGGCTTTGCATGAAGGAAAACCACATAAGACCTTACCAGTACCCATCTTTTCAGAACTGGAAACAGGACATCTGACCCTTTTCTCTGGTAATCTGTGTGCTACAAGAAAATGCTATGTGTTGTTCACTTTTAAGATTGTATATATGGCTCTGTCACTGTCAACCCTTTGAACAGAAAGGTGTACACCAGAAATAGGCCTGTGTTACTGCTCAGAGGCTTATGTGAAATCAGAGACTGTTCTCAGCCCAGTTGAGTGAGATGGTGATCCCAGACAGCTCCACTTTCTCCACGGGGCAGACAATGCCACCGCTGCGATGACTGACCGAGTCCCTCACACATCTGACAGAGCAGCAGGTTGGAAAGGGAAAATTTATACCATGACCGCCCATCTCCCACCAGCGGGGTGGAAAGTTTGAAGAAACCTGTTCTCTGTGGTTGCAGTCTTTCCTCAACACTGGCCTTGCTCAAGTGCTGCCAGCAGGGATAAAGAAGGTAAAAGGAAATTACAAATCTTCCTGTTCTCTTTTATAACTGTTTTTTGTCTCCTCTGTCCCTATTTACAGCTTATAACGTGCTGTATTGTAAAGGTGTTCCTCACCTTTTTTTTCTAAAAGCAGGAGTAAACTGCTAGCTAGACGTAAAACTGAGATAAGGTGTAAGGCAGGCACGCTGTCTCTAACTTTAACTCTATAACAATTCCAGGCTGATTTATATTTTGAACTGTCACTATATGGTTTGCAAGGGGAAAAGTGTGAGTAAAGATTGAGATTTTCCTTCTATAAATTGTGGAAGGGTGAGGGGGAAGTGACAGATCTCATTTAAAAACCTTATTGAAGTTGCCGTGTTGAATGATGGTGCCATTGCTTGTCTCTGTGTCTCATTGTCATAATGTAAGCCCTTTTATAATTAGAAGAAACCACAGAAGTCAGAGTAAAGCACAACAGATCCAGAAAGAGCTGGAAACTTAAGGAAGAAATAATAAAAAAAACCCAACAATAGACATGGTCTGGAGAAGATATTTTATTTATTTGTTACTAGTAGTTAAAATGACGTACAAAATGCTGGGAAGAAAAAACTCCAATTCTATTCAGTTACAAAATAATTAAAACTTCATTTTAAACCAAGTTTTGCTTTGTGAGACCAAGCATGAAAATACTGCAGCCTTAGGTTATATAGTCCATTGTTTTTAGAATAAAGCAGACATTTAAATACATATTGTGGTTGATATTAAATATCTCGTATAACTGTAAGTTAGCAGAACTTTCTTACTCTCAGGCAATAACTAGTAATTCATAAAAGTTCTTTGTATAAAATTTACATATCTGGGGGGGTTGGATCTGCCTGAAGGGGAGTTCCATCATGATCTATATACAGGCTGTTTTGGAACATAAAGATTTGTAAAACTTTTATCAATTTTCCTTCAGAATACTAGCCTAATCTTAAACAAAGGAGTCAGTAATGTCTGAAGCTTTGCTTGATGGCTAAGGGTTTAGGGACATAGCAGTCTCTGTAAAAGACAACGGGAGTTTTGCTGTCAACGTCACACGAAGAAAAAAATTCATTCTTAAGGTGTGCCCATTTCTTGAACAGAAGCCCTAGCTAGTACAAAACTTTCAGCAATGACTGAGATTGGCCCTTTCCACTGCAAACCAATTCAAAAAAGTTATTTAAAGGAAAACAATCCCTGCTTATTATCAGTGAAAGAGGATTTGTATTAATAATAACATTAAATAGCCATATCTTTCTGTTTAACTATTCACATTCCACACAGTGGAAATCTACCTTCTGTAATTCCAGATTTTAAAACTGGATTTTAAAATCCATGAAGAAATGTGTCAAACCTGCTCAGTGAGAGTACACCAGATGAAATGCATTTTAATAACATCAATCAACAAGTTGCAATCTCTTAATCTTACAAATGCAGACCTCACAGCAGTGGATTTTACAGTAAAAATATATTAATTGCAGAGATGCAGGATATCACCAATAACTGTGTGATGCACTGTGTAACAGCTGGGGCATCTAATATAATGACTGCACACCGGATGCATCTGTGACATACTGCTGTATATTTTTCCCTTTGGACCTGTCAATAAGAGCAGAATTGTCTTCCTCAGCATTTAATGGCCAGAAATGCTGTCAAGATAATGAACTTGTGTCTGAGAGAGGCATCTGGTGTGAGAAAGAGCAGCTATACTGATAGTGGATACTGGAGAATATCACTGCTGAATGGGGACCCTGAGTCCTGGAGGATCCAAGCCCCACCATACATACAGCTAACGTGGACCTAACTCCCATTCCACTCGCATCAGGGATGTCCGGGTTGCTTTCAGGCCTGGCGCTGGGTCTGGAGGAGGAACACGCCTTTCCGCCTGTGCCCACCACCCAGGACTGGCCATCGGGGCCCTGCCAGCAGAGGCAGGAGGTGCAGCACCCCGCCATCTCTTCACCACCCATTGGAAAGCGCCCAGCAGAGCTGGCACCCAGGACAGCGCGAGTCCTTTGCACACCGTGTGCCATGAGGTGCAGCCAGCGAGACATGGACTCCAGGAAAGCGAGGGTGACCTGCGTGGCAGGGCTGCCCCTCGGGTCCAACAGCCCAGGCTCCACCGAGCTAAACCAATTTCTTTTGCAGGACCTGCTGTGCTCTTGCCAAAACCCACAGCCCTGATCAAGTTTAAACTCCTAATCCTGAAGGAAAGAGAAGGCAGGATAACCTCACAGGTGAGATTCATCGAGCTGCTGGAAGTAATGTGCCCCTTTTTAAGTTCCCCCCACCCCCCCAAAAGAGAGGGGCAGTTAGCCCTTAATTTTCAGGAAATTCTCTTTACTTAGTCCAAATCCAGTTTAAATGCAAGTCTGTGGTAAAAGATATAAAAAGAGGATTATTGCTGGCAAAGTTCTGCATCTCTTTTTCAACAAACTGCATGCCTGTGGCAAAGCTAAAATAACAATAACAATGCAATGTTTACTAGTCATGAATGTCGTGTCTTTTGTCTCTTGTGTGGTTATTGCATTTGCCGTCACATGATGCTTGTTTTAATTTTTGCTTTGCTCTTTATGTACTAAATTACTGCCATTCTGTACTTGATCTTGGTTAGCAAGATTTTTGTGCTGTGGTTATGTATGTTTTTATGTATGTGTGTGAAAAAGAGAAGGAGAGAGTTCGGATACACACAATGGAATATGCGTACTCATTGTATGTATGTATAGATACCAATGACTAAAAGACATTGCATATACATATATATGTAGATATGAAGAGTAACTGATATCAGAAATACAAGACATCAAACGGATCTAGTGGCACAAGAATGGGTTTTGACTGATTGAGAGAGCCATTAGAATTCAGAAGTATATTTATAGCCTTGTATATAGTTTCTCTTTAATTTATGTAATATATGACTAGGTATATAAATTAAAGCAAAACATAAACAGAAGACAATATCTCTTCCTCTGTGTCTTCCTATTTATGTATCTTTCTTTTTTCTACTCCCTTTTGCACTCTCCCTGTCTACTTACTTTGGCCTTTTGCTTTCTAACTTGCTGTAGCTCTGTTTTCCATCCACCTATAGTGACTTTTCAACATTCCCACATCCCCTCATTGTTCTCCAGATATGGATTTTGGATTACAGCTATTTTTTTTTTAAGCAGCACGTTACAAACTCTTGATAGAGCTGCTATTTTCAGTGATGGTTTTGCTATGCTTTAAACTGCTTTTTGCCTACTTTGTATTTAAGAATATATTTATGCTTTCAAATATATTGTCCTCTCACTTTGATGTTTCTCTTAATACAGTAAAAGTAAATAGCACAGCAGGTGAACATTAGCAAAAGTCACAGCTCCACTTTCCCAGCAAGCGGCAAAAATGTGAATATACACTAGGAAACCTAATTCATGACTGCAGGTAAATAGATTTTTGTACCCTCGTTAAATTTTTTGTCATAGTGAACATTCATATATTTGCTTGCACACATCCTTTTTCTCTCTTACACACAAACACGTATATACGTGCCCTTCCCTTACAGCATTTTTTTTGGTTTGGGTTTTTTTTTTTCTTGTTTTAGGTAATTCACGATTCTGTCCAGCCCCAAAGGTAAGCTGGTTCATGCCGCTCACTCTCACGCTGGCCATGATTGCGTACAGTCAGAGTGCCATTGGTACCATATTTTTCTCAGTTTAGTCCAAGTCAATAGATATACACCGGCATTTTAACTCGGGTTATTCTCTTCTTCTTCCTCGGGGGCTGCAGCTCAGGGCAATTGAGTGTAACAGTCATCGTGGTGAATTTCTTGGGCTTGCAAAAGGAACAAGATTGGAAGGAACCTTCCTCTTTACGGACATGCCTGGGGATGTAGAAGGAATTGCACTGGCCGTAGCAGAACCTGTTGATAATGGTACGACTGTTGCAGCCTTCTTCATGGATAGTTTGTTTGAGGGGTTGAGTTTTACACCAATCCCGCTTTAGGTATTTGCGCTCAGTGATGTGCAGTGCCTCCTGACTAGACTCCAGCACCTCCTCAGCAGGCATTGAGGTGCCCTTTCCTCGTTCTCGGTGCCTGGAGCCCGACTGCTGCTGTGTCTGCATTTGCTCTGAATCATTGGGCTGATCTTTGTCAGGAGGAGGGATAGCACCTTGAGATCCACGATTCCTCTTTCTCCCTTCTGCTGCTGACAGCAGAAATCCCGTCAGAAGAAACATAGCGCCGATGGCATACAGTGCACGGACCATCCTATATGGAGGAAGTTGAGGGAATAAAGCACAGTTGTGGATTTCAGATATCAACAGAAGTCAGGTATGCAGTAAATTTTCAGTTTCATAAAAGAAATCTCTGTGTGTGCGTGCATTAAAAGATAAGCATTTAGCCTTTAGCAGCTGGAAAGCTGTTTCCAAATTACCAAGTGATAAAAGCTCTAATGTATGGTGATTGAAAGTCAGAGGCTAAAGTAAGTCCAAACAGAATTTAGTTTTGTGTAGCATGCATCTTTTTCCAGTTCTTGTCTGCTAGTTATTATATTATGCTAGTTAAGAGTTCTCATTCCCTTCTTATAGCTCACTGGCATTAGGAATGTTGCTCCTGACTTACACTGGTGGAAGAACAGATTTAATGCTACACAAGGATTTATATGACGTAACTGTCTGTAATACTAGAGGACTAAATTCTCTGACTCAGGAGATCCAGTGTAGCTATGTGTTCCTTAGGCAGACTCAGAAGCTTTGTACAGCTTCTTGCATAATATACATCCAGAATATAATGTGCATGCATGGATATATCCACCCATTGTCTGAATTACAGCATTCCAGGCTCTGTTACATTGCCTCTCTGAATTGGTCCAATACACTCAAGTGTAACAAAGCTTAAGGTAAGAGATGTGCAACAAGATAGGCAACTGACATAAAAGAATATCTAGGTAGAGGTTAAGAGGGATGCATCTGTAATTTCAAATTACACCTTCTCGTGCATTATTCTGAATCCCTGGCAGAAGTTACACAGATGCAGTCACAGAATTTTTCAGATGTCTGAATTTTAATAATTATATACAGCATGGTATTGAAAGGACATATGAGGTCAGCAGAGTTTCATATATGGCATTAAGTATCATGAGGTATCAGTATCAAAAAAGAATGTAGTTTGTGCACACACACACACAAAAGAAACACTTCAACAAGTGCAGTAAGTGGAGACTATCAGGCTCTTCAAACCAGCACCCTGCTCCAAACCTAATTACTAGGGTAGGAACAGCCTTTCTTGCCTCCCTTACTGCACCATGGCTGCTGCTTCCCAAAGCTCTAAGCACTCTTGGCTGCTCAGTCAGCATAAGACACCAACCAGCCGGAAAAACACTCATCAACTGTCACACTTTCCCCTCTTCCAGAAGTACCGTGGTCTCCATGCTGTCCTGGAAAGCAAGGGATGTGGCAGCAAGAGAGACAGATCAGGGAATGAGGCTCTCAGGGGACCCATCCCGCGAGGAGCCTGGAAGAAACCACCAGAAATGAGCAACTGCTTGCAAAAACCCCATAAAGCAGCAGAACTGCAAAGAGGCATGCGCATTAGAAAGGGGAAGAATTGTGAAAAAAATCTGAGGATGTTAGTGTCTTCTACCTGCTTGGAGTGCTGTGGTTGTATCCCTTACTTGACTCATTTTATCAGTAAGGGACAAATTAGTGTTTGAGTCCTGCTTGTGTGGCTACCCAAGAAACAAATGTGAAACCAAGGGCACCGTCCTGGATGGCTTTATCCGCTGCGCCTGGGACCACACAGCTAGGCAGGAAAGCAGCCAAACGCCAGCGCTGTAAGGGCCACCTCGAGACTCAGCAGAGGCTCAGGGGAAGCACCATTTGCTAGAAAAGATAACTGCTAATTTCTCAGTGACTACGTCTCTCCAGTCACACAGAGAACATAAACGTTGGATTATTCTGTTCAATAAGCATTTCTCACCAAATAGACTCAGAAAGGACTTAGTGGAGTGGAAAAGTATCATAAGGGGGTTCCATTGTATCCAGGGATTTGCTTGTGGATCCAATATTTTATGTGTTTGTCTACAGATTGTTGGAACACCTGGAGTTCATAATATGTATGATAAATATATGCATTCGTTTTATTCATTTATGTTTATGTACTGGTATGTCCCATGTTTGTCAGAAGCTTCAGGCTTCAAGCAAGGGATGTAAGAATGACACTATTGCTGACTCCAACAGACAACTCGGAAGGGCTGCTTTTAATATCTAAATGAAATATGGTACAGAACATGCACTTTTAATAACCTTAAGGCTCTGACATAGAACAAACAAAAAAAATTTCAGAATTCTAATTGAAGACTACTGCAGTATAATTTCAAGTGTCAGCTTGAACTTCACATTTGCTGGTTTTTCCCCATTTTTATTACAACCTGAATGTTATTTAAAACTATTTGGCTTTAAATTTAATTTTATCTTTAAAATAAATTTTTTAAAAGAGTTATAAACCACTGCTTATTTCTTCAAGAGACCAGAATGACTCCTTCCAAAACTATTCCTATTTCTCCAGCAACTGTATACCCATGCTGTATTTAGAGGGTATTTTAATATGCACTTTATTTACTCAACATGGTGCCAGAGCCTTCAAAATAAAAATCATTGCATGCAATTGAAAAGAAATTGCTAGTTTATAAGCAGTGCCAGGAAACTTCAGGTGTTTGTTTAGTGTCCCATAACTGAGTTGAAGTTCCACCAACATGCATATTTCTGGACTACTTTTATTTCTAAAACTGATGACCTCCACATTGTTTCACCTTTTTTTTTTTTTTTTTTTTTTTTTTTCCCCATAAATGTGCAATTGATGACACAGTAAGATCTAGTCATGGGTAAATGAGGTGCACTTTGGGATGTGAATTTGGGGGAAATTTGATGGGAATGTTTACTATTGTAAGATCTGTATCCCAGATTCATGCATCTCTATTAAGTGAGTGCTTAACCCTAAGGAAATGCAAGCATGTGTTTCAACATAATCCTAAACTGGGGGACGAAAGGTAATTTTTCACTGTGTTAGTTTCCAACCTTAAAGGCAGAAACTATATTACAGGCTCATAAAATAAATTGTGATTCAAATGAAAATTAGCAACTCAGCAAAACTTTTGTTATGGTCACTTCCAAAACACACATCTAAAAGCAAAAGTAATCCAATCATTTAGGGCTAAATACAGTTTAAACACAGACCCACAGAAGAGGCTGTGTGAACTTTGTAATCCCCACAGCAGCTCAAGTAGGACCTTTTTTTAAGAGCAACTTATTAAACATTTATTTTAAAATTATGCTTATTTTTTCACAAATGCAAAATACAAAGGGAAAGGCGGTGGTACGTCTCAGTGAGGACAGCAGCCAAAACGCAGCGCAGAGGGCACTGCACCACCTCTGCTCCCAAGAGAGAAGATGGGATTCTCTCTGCTTATGAGAGATGACACCTCTGTTTGCTTACATCAGGAACTAGAGTGGTTCATCTGCCTCTGAACAGATTCCTGAATGTTCCTTAACAGTTCGGGGTTTTTTATTACTGGAAAAAAATAGAACATAGGAAGAGTACAAGTAGCTAAATCACTGTTACCATATCCAAAGTTTTACCAAAAAGAAATCTCTCCTGAAGTCAATGTTTTTTCCCTTGTCACAGACATAACTCTGCAGAAGTAATAACTCTGGAGCTTGGATAGGAGCTGTGAGGAATCAGGCTGTAAAATCCTATATTCCAAATTTTTGCAAAATTTTCGGTATTTGACACTGGCTGTTACAGAAACACTGGCATAACCAGAAATCCTTTTGAGACTCCTTTGAACAAACAGATGACTACAACCAAAATGCCTAGGTCAATTCCCACTTATTTTATTCAGATCCAGAGAGCTGATGTAATTAATATTTATGTTTTTTAAGGAACAAAATATTTCAAAAATCTATTCTTTCCATATTTCCCTGCTAAGTTGAGTTCTACTTTTCATCATCTGCAAACTTTTAGTCCTAAAGCCAAGAGAAATTGTATTGCTGACTTCAAACAGGAGCAGAATTGGGTCCTAACGTTCATATCACCTCATATGTGGTTTATCTAGAGCCTGGGATCTCATCATCTAAAACAGATTAGGAATTTTGTGGATTAATACTCGGAACCATTCACAGAGAAGTATAAATGCTTTCAGGTTTATTATTTCTTACAATTAAGCTGTAATTTTTTCGTTTATACATTTTCTGCTATAAATTAAGGACTGCCACATGTCAGTTCATAAACAGCTCTTCCCTATGAGTTCTCAGGCAGAGTCAGAAAGCTATTACTGAATTTTTTTAGCACAAAGCAACTAGTTTAAAAGAACTGGATGGAATCCTGGCTCTGTTGAACTATACAGCAAAATTCTCACAGACCTCAGCAGGCCCATAATTTCATCTGTGAACCATATTTACCAGGAAAATATTATGACAAGACAAGGACTCACGTGCTTTACAGAAAATAAGAAAAATAATCTGACAAAGACCTAAAAAAATATAAATTTATTTGGTGGGCTTCAAATACCAGACAAAGAAACAGGCAAAACACAACCCTCTGACTACTGAGAAAATTGAAGTGGTTTACGTCCCAAAGGATGAGGATAATTTTATGCCTGGCTTATTATATATGAATTACAGAAATAGTCTTATGTAATGTTTTTATAGTTTGTAGATCTGTATTTTTAAATATAGAAAAAGGCACGGCAATGGCAGTGCCCAGAGAACCAGAATTTTTCTCTGAGACCAGGACAGCAAAACTAACATCTCTGTTTGGTAGAAATTGGATACATTTACATTTAAGATAATTCCTGCTTGCGAGTCATGGAGACGGGTTTTTTTGAGACACATAATGCGTGCAGGCAGCAATACAAGAAAGAAAAAAGTTTTAAAAAGAACTTGGAAACTTTGAGAGTTCCCCCTTTAAGAAAGCATCGCTCTGGAGGACGGGACTCCAGGGAAGCTGGACATCATGGTGGGCATGGCCGGTACCAAGCCCGAATGAGACTTGCCCTGAAGACGCCCACACAGCCAGAGAGCTCTGCTCCCCAGAGCCAAACTCCCTGCAGACGGATTTGTTCGCGGAGCCCTAAACCCACCCGAATGGTTCTGTCCCTGCGCACGGCCGTGCGCCCTGAAACGGAGAGTGTCCTCAGGAGGAGCTACGCGTCCCTGGGCGACACCGCCGAGAGAAGAAACAAATGCTCTGGCAGAGCTTGGGACTGAAT